CAGATTGTGACCATTTAAAAAAAACTACATCCAAACAAAAACCAGATTGTTCCCTGCTTATTTTCCAGTGAAAAAATGGATAAAAACTGTCTCAGATATTCGTTCAGTATTATGGCACTGACCTTGCACAAGGAGCACATGTTCAGATTGCTGGCCTGAATGCAAAAGACCAAAACCTCCTACTCACATCTCCCAGATCCCCGTCAGTGGATCTAAATGCAGGCGCAGAAATCAGCCTGCTGCTTCTGTGCTTATCTGGCTCCATCACAGAGAATTTAACTATCAATACACAGTGCTTTGGTCTCAACAGGAGACTGAAATGGTGCCTCCAAAACCAAAGCCCACAACGATGTGCCAACACCCCCTCAGATGCTGGAAAGTAGTTAATATCCCCAGGTTCTTCAAAATACTTACATGGAGCATGTCTAAGTGTTTAAGAGAAGGTAATTTTGTTCATTGTCAGAACCCTGGGAACCACTGTTTCTCCAGGGTTCAGAGGGATGATGTGAACATTACCCACACAAAGAATAGCAATGAAGGGCTGGAAATGGGAAGTGCCACATCAGTAACAAGTGCACAGATCTGCACCATATCCTCCAGGCAGCTCAAGGCCACTCAGAGGATCAGAAACAAAGCCTGCAAACAGAAGACTGGCCATGCTACCAATCCCTCTTATTCAGTGTAAAGGTGCTCTACTGTATCCAATATTCTTTTTAGAATAACTTTTCAGTAAGATTAGATTTATCTTTGATTAGGTGTGTCTTTGAAGATGGAGAAGAGGAGGAATGGAGGCAAGCCAGTGTCATCCCAGTCTTCCAAAAAGGGCAGGACAGGTCAGCAGGCTGTGCTGCTGCTCAGCCAGACCTGGACAGGCTGGAGAGGAACTCAGAGAAGCTCAACAAAAGCAAGCGTGGGGTCCTGCAGCTCAGGAAGAACAACCCCATGCACCCATGCAGGTGAGGGCCTGACCTGCTGGGAAGGGGCTCTCTGGAGGACAGAGCACTGGCAGGAGCTGTCCAGAGAGTCTGTCGAGTTTCCTCTGGAGATGTTCAACCCTGTCTGGACATCAGCCTGTGAAACCTGCTCAGGGTGAACCTGTTTTTAGCAGGGGGTTGGATTAGAGGATCCCCAGGAGTCCCTTCCAAACCCCCAAAAAACCCCAGTTTTTTGTTTACAAAACTGTTACTTTTGTAATTTATGGACTGCTGTCTTTGGGGGTTTCACATGGAGGCTGCCACAGAGAGAAGAATGCAAAGCTGTCAATTACTCACCTACAACATATATTATCTGTCACTAATCTCCTTCCCAACCAATTTCTAAATTAAATTAATAAACCATCTTTCTCATTTACAAAATGATATTACTTAAAAGTATCTACTTTTGATCAAAGCCCAAAGAATACCCATATGACAATGCAAATGTCCATAAGGTTAAATTCCATAAGCCTTCCTGTGCTGGTGAAGGATTGATTTGGACCACTGCAAAAAGAAATGTGCACCTTTACAAGTTCTGATTGTCTCTGTCTTGATTGGTTGATTCAGTGGCTTGATGATTTAGAATACTGATAACATATTAGGATATAAACAATACTTTTCAAACATACTTAATCATTGTGTTTGTGATTTTTCTCTTTATTGGACTTGATTGGAATTGAGGTATCCACTTGAGAAACTTCATTCATTCATGAAGGTTTTCCATAACTCTATTTGCTACAATGAACAAGGCAGGCAAATTTTGGCATGGCCCTGCTTTCGTGCTTTATTCTCTAAAAGTTTTGTTCTGGAAAAAAACCCAGAAATCACCACTTTTACATAGGGAGTAGATGTTCAGGTGCCTGTTTTGTCTGAGCAACTTACCCAAGTACTTTAAACTGAACTCTTGCTTCTGACTCGGGTACTTACCTCTCCTTGGTGCACAGGACATGACAACAGCTCTGTATGATGTTTAATTCAGAGTTTTCTTCAGTTCATGTCTTGCTCTAACATGACAGAGGTGGGTTCTTAGGAGTACTCTCTTCTACATTCCTACTAAGGGTCTGACTTGTGTTTAGGTACCAATGTTCAGCAATACCTTTATGAAATGAGCTGTGTGGCTCCCAAAGGCAGGATCTGCTTTGGGATCTGCTCTCAGGCTGGCTGTTGCTAGCAGGGTAATTTGGTGTTACTCAAGGTCCTATGAGTGTCACCACCCCGGGCAGCTGTCCTCTCTGAGAGCCAGCCCTGGATGCCTCAGCAGGGTGGGAACAGGAGTGGCAAGAGAGCTGAACAGTGTCTTCTCCCCCAGGGCCGTTTTGTTTGCCATGAGCTCTCTCCCAATGCAGTGGCTCTGTATTAATGAATTAATACTCCCCTCTCCCCTGCACCAGCTTGCTGGCTCCTGGCAATTACTGGACAACGAGCAGGGGACTTGGTGACAGGCACTGCTGCCAGTCCTGCCCTGACATGAAACAGCACCTTTCCATTATGGGCTGACTTAAGAGGATAGCAGAAGTAAGGGCAAGGCCCTTGGCTGTAGTAAGGTGTGTCAGATTCCTGATAAATGCTGTGCTGCAATTTAACACAACTTCTCAGAGGTGGCCACGCACACTCAGCCCTTGCTATTTTAAGGAAGCAACCCTGTCTCAACCACTTGCCACATTTAGCCATTTAACTTTGTTAACTACTTAGAGTTAGCTACTTTTCACTGTGATGAAAAAGGTTACTATGGGCCTAATTCCCAATTAGTTCCTAAGATGGTCCAGCCCCGCAGCTGGGTTCTGGGAACAGCTCTGAAGAAGGAACATGAAATTTCTGTAACACAGAAATAATGCTCTTCTATCTCTTTGCCTTGGAAATCCTCTTCTCTGTCAGCTTGTCTTTTTTTTTTTTTTGCACTGGTTTTCTTTGCCCCATTCTCTGATTAAATGTTCTCCTCTTCCCCAGATGTACTGTCTGCAGTGCCTTTGGCCTGGGCTGGGTCTGGACAAGAACATGCTGGAACAGGCAGCCCTGGCACTGCTGTTCTGCAGCATGTGAGCACACAGAACTCCTGCCTCCTTCCACATGCACACTGCCTTGGAAGCAGATCCTGCAACCTTGTCCTGCTCAGCCACAGGGATCTCTGCCTGACAGGGAGTGGAAGGGAGAGAAGGCTTCTGATCTACTCTGTGTAGCTTTCCCTTCCTGTGAGGCCTGGATAGGCTGCAGAATTACTAAGTCTCCCCTTTTGTGAGGATCCAAACCTTCACATACTCCTGTACAGGGGTGTCAGCCCATGGCTCTCCCTGCAAGAACAACGGCTTTAGCAGTTGGACCTTACAACACTGACCTCCAGTCCACCCACTTCTGTCTTCTTCCAATAATCTGTAAGGAATACAGAAGCTGAGACTCCTGAAGCAATTTGGATCAATTCCTCAATGACTACAGTTAATTTTTTGACTAATGGTGTTTTCTTACGATAGGTTATGTATGAAGTATGGCTGCACAAATTTAAGAAGAAAGAAAAGCCCTGAGAAGCACAAAGCAATTCTGTTTTCTGAGAGAGTAGCCCAAGGAGATGATAAATTACCAATGATTAATAACTCACTGAAGAAACAGTAAAGTTAAAGTAAAGTTAATCCTATACACAATGAACTCTAGATTTAATATACAGCCCTAGGAGATGTTACTTTTCTTCAGTGTGTCCTGGGAGGCCATTTACAGAAAACAAAATCAATCTGATTACTTCAGGTGTATGTATAGGGTATATTCAAGACCTCAGAAATGGTAATTTTCAGGCCCTGAAATACTGTGTTCCTTACTTATATTAAAAATTGAATAAATGAAAGCACTGGGCTCCCTTCTGCTTAGAACAAACAGCCTCTTCTTGTACACTCCTAAATAGAAAACAGTACTACAAAGCCACCAGGAGGCAGCAGATTAAAATACTTGTGCTATAAAAGAACCACCATTAAAAAACCCCAAACCAGCCCTAAAACCCTGCTCCTCTCCCAAATATTCAGCCTGATATGGAGGAAATGTGTTCTCCCAGCCCCCTGCTGAACATTTTGCATTATCCACTGATCTCTCTTCTCTGCATACCTGAAATAAGTAGCAATTCCACTGCTGTCAAACAGCTTTATGCAGGAGCATGGTTAAAATGGAAATCAAACTGATTTCTGGAATAGCATTCACTGGAAAAAAATGAGCAAAAAAAGTAGATAAAGTGATATGACAAAATATAAGACCTCCCAACAGACTAAACTGCTTTTGTTCCTTCTGGGGTTTACTGAAAAATTCCAACCCCCTGAGTGTTCTCCTGACTACCTTTTTTTGTTTACAAAATGCCACCCAAGAAGCAGCACTGGAATTGTGACCAACCCAGGACAGGCTCTGGCTACCTGCCACACCAACACCGCTGCTCCAGCTACGCTGCCTTGGCCCCGGTCCAGCTCTGCATTCCCTGACCCAGGAAAGCTGCAAGTTGTTTCCTCTCCTTCGTCCTTCTTTTCTGCTGGTATAAAAGACTGTCCTCAGTTGTGGCTCAGCATGGTTTAAGACAGCCTGAATTCACTACAGATATATATGTAAGCTTTTAAACTGGTATGTTATTTTAAATCCTTATTATTTATAGATGTAAATGAATTTTATATTTCTATATGTATGTTTCTATATGCCTACAGATATTTTATGGCATATCATACAATAACTGCTCTTACAGAGCAATGTGTGAGCATATATATGAAATACAGCAAGGCAGCAAGAGAAATGTTGAAACTACCTAAAACATTTCTAAATATGGCCTTACAAGCACAAGATATGTGCACAGTCCACCAAAAAGCAGAGCACGAGCAGTGTGCAATCAGCCCCAGGAAAGGCACTTAGGAACCAAGCAAAGGAACAACCACAACAGCAAACACTTGCGTTTTCAAACTGAAAATTCAGCTCCTAAGAAAGTACCTCTGGCATCTTAATTCAAACAGACACTACATATTTTCCACTGCAAAGATCACAAGTAATTGGGAAATTAAAACACAAGCGCAATGTCAGCAGAAATCACAAATTTATTAATCCTTAAATATATCAATCATTTACCATTATGGCAAGAAATATGTACACTGTGTCCCATGGTAAACTGCAGTGTTCCAAAATGACAGAAGTATGTAATTCAGTTGTGGTGGAGAGAACAAATCACAATTTCCTTATGTCTTGGTGTGGAAGACAAACTTGGTCTACAGTAATACATCAACACCACATGCTATGTTATAAGTATAAAAAAACCACCCTACACCTAATTTGTTAATTTTAAATATAGTTATGCCACTTATAGCCGCTTCAAAAAAAAAAAAAAAAAAAAAAAAAAAAAAAAGAAAAAAAAAGGAAAAAAAAAAGAAAAAAGGAAAAAGAAATTAATGAGAAAAAAAAAATGAGGCCATTACTTTTTTCACAGATCCCATTGGCAGGTTAATATGGCTCAACACATTTATTGTAGATGCTTACTTTAAATATATATTGTTTAAAATCATGTAGTAATTATCAGAGAAGCTTAAGTCCATCTACCATACATCCACTAGTAACAACATCAACATGTTTAAGAACTGCTTCTGATTAGTAATCAACACAGAAAGGTGAAATGATACAAATTAGGAAGCTTTCCCATTTTAAAAAGTCCCGGCTGCCGAGTTGTAAATTTTGGACGGCTAAAAAGGACACTGACTGAGATACCATGCACTGTACAGCGCTGCGGGGAGCAGAACCACAGGGAGAACACGAGCAGCCCAGCCTGGGCTTCCCTGCAACAGTGGAAGGGAAGAAGGTGAAATTCTTGTGAGGGTGTATTTTTACAGCAACGTGAGGGAAGGAGAGCTAGTCCCTGTTGCAAAGTTGGCGTTCCGCACTGCCAGCACAGCGTTCCACCCTCGGCCCAGAGCTGGGACAAACCCGTTGGGATCGTCGGCCTCAACACCGAACACTGCCAGGGGAGCTTGAGAAACCATGAGTGGATTGAGGGCAAGAGGGGGAGACTGTGGTAAAGTGCTAGGGTCCCACGGAAAACCGGTGTCTCCGTAATTCATTTCCAGAGAAGCAAAAGCAGCAGTGTAATGTAAGTAAACTCTTCATACTTAGCTTTAAGGCCTAATATTTCTTGAGTATATTATCCACACAACTGGTCTATACATTAACCCACATATTGTATTTTTAAAGCCTCCTTAAAAATTTACAGTACATCCTAAAAGTGATAAAAATCTTTCTCTTCCTTCCATTTTAATCCTCAAAAACTGTCTCTCAATTATCACTTAGTTCCTTACAATTTTTAATTTTGCTTAATCATCCAACAGAACCGTTCAGTTAAGCAAAATAAGAAAGCGAAAAGGACTCAAAAGGAAAATGGAAGCTGCTGACTCCCCAGAACACTGACAGTTAATTCTGGAGTGGCCAGGCCAACAAACAAGAAGATTTTTCCAGTTTACATAGACTATTTAACTAAGAAGGCTGTAGCTGGTCCAAAGCCAAGATATTAACCCTTCCGCATTTATCAGTGATTTTGTCCATCTAGGATAAAAATCTGTTTTACAGTAAAGGAGCTGCCAGCGGAAATCCTAACCATTCCTACCAGAACCAAAGCAAAATCCTGGGACTTGGGAGAAAAGGAGGAGTCAAAAAACAGTTCTTAAAAAAAGAAGGTAAAATATACTTTTTCTTTTTTTTCCTTTTTTTTAATAAACGCGTTAGATTTTAAAGTTGTCTGTCAAAACTTGTCATAAATGGAGCAAGTGACAAATGTATTATGTGTCTACTGCTGTCCATCCAATATCTCTTTTTTGTCTTTTACACCTTGTTATTCTCTAATTGCATGGAACATCACCTTCATTGAAATGTTAACAGTGTACAGATGGAATATACAGCAATGTGGTGCATCACAAATGTGTTACATGAAGAACCTTCACAACTTCATGCACTCAGAAACATGCATGAAGAGAACAGGATGGCCAAGATGGTAATCAACCAGGTGCGTTGGGTACAGAAAATGCAAGAGCGGCACCGCTGATATTTTTAGCTAGGAGGAAGGAGAAAAAAAACAAACAGATTTCCATTACTGAGGTAACATCACCACCAGATAACAACACATGCTCAAGTGTTAGCCAATGCTATTGAAAAAAAACCCATCTTGTCGAGATCACTAAACATGATACTGGGGAAAAAACAAGGGAAAAAACCTCCACTCAGGCAAAGCATTCTTTTATTTTTCAAACCACTTTACAGACATTTTCCATCTTTACAAGATGCCAGAGAGGCTGTGAAAATAAAAAAGAAAACTCAGGCAGGAAGCCAAAGTGTCTTAAGGGATGCCTTAAGGGAGGGAGGGTAGAATTCAGCTATGAATCTCTGGGTGTAACTTAACTTCCTCAGCATGGACATCACAGGCACTGCCATGGACTGAGGTTCTTGTACAAAGACTGGACCAAGTGACAAGGAAGAATCAGGTGTCATTCACATGCAGGACATGCCAGAGCTAAATGCAGAGAGAGAAGGAAGGGAAAGGAGCTGGAAGCAAGTATGTAGCTATCTGAGGTTGTAGCATTATTTGTATTACCGTAGCATCTAGGGGCTGGAGCCGTGGTGGGATCCCTCTGCGCTAGGCACTGCACAAACACAGAACAAACTCTTTACTCTGCATTCCTGCTCTCTGGCGCTGCGCTTACTGAAGTATAAGAAGGTGTGAGCAGTGAGCAGGGAGGGAACATAAGCCTCACTGAGGCTGGAGTTAGGTTAGGGAGTCACTTTCAGGCCCAGCAGCCCTTTGACTGCCTATATTGGGCAGGTGCAGTCTTCGAGGATAAAGCAGACAGCTCTGCAGAAACACATTAGCACAGGTCCCTAAAAACATGGATAGAGAGAACAACTTCCTACCATAACTCCTGTCACTCAGAGAGAAACCATGGACGAGACAGAAACCCAAGTTTGCCTCATCCCACTCACAGCAGAACCATGAATAAAATTTATTTATAAACTAAATACATATTTGTGCTCACATCCTTTTTCAAATAAGTTCTCTGCCACAAGGCAACATTTCCCTACACCTACCAAAGAGCTCAGATCTATCCTTAGATTTATGCAGTCTCCTTCCTGAAAACAAGGAAGCTACTGTGCTTGCAACAACTGGTTTAATATATCTAGGATACTGTGTCTAGCAGATCACAGCTATAATAATTTTTGCAACTTTATTACATTTGAAATTCATCTTCAGACATGATGTGTAAAATACTTTTTTATTATGGAAATGCCATTATTAACTACTGTGCATTGGTAATCATTAAATAAGTAGCTGTAGTCTGTACACATTTCAGATAAAGGAACTCCAAAATGGAGTTATTGCTGCTCTCACTAGGAAAAGCAAAGGTGAAATTTGAGACAGTATAAAAATGTTCAGGATCGGTTATAGAAGATGGGTCTAGCTTGGTGCTACATGGGAATCTCCCAGTCAGTTTTCAGAAGACGGGGAATAAAGAAAGAATGACCGTGTTTGTGCTCAAAGGGGAGTTATCAACCTAGAGGAGACTCACTAGTGCTGAGCAAAAGCAGTAGGACTGATCTCATGTAGCATACTGACACTTAGGTGGAAGGCACTATAAAAAGAAAACGAAACAGGAGCATTGTGCAAGGAGAACCAAGTAACACTGAGGGCTGGGTAATCAAAAAAATATTACATGGAATAACAGAATGTGCAAAGCTCTGTAAAAGTTTATGTACTCACTGGCTGGAAATGAGAGTTGAGGATAAATAGGTGGACATCTCAGATGCACTGCAGATGACAAAAGTGCAAAAATTGTGCAAGAACAGAGAAGGGAGAAGAAAGACATTGGGGAATGAAATAAAGACCTGACCACAATTGGACAGAGCATTTCAAAAGCAGCCAAGCTAATGGAAAGGCAAACCTCAAAAAAAAAAAAACCCACAGTAAGGAGATAAGGTAATAGGAAAATGGAGATCCTATCAAACAAAGCCACCTGAGGTAGCGCTGGCTGTTTACCCTACGGAAGTAGAAGGTGGGAATGATCTGCTCAGCCTGCCTACAAACCAGTGTATGTCTGCACACCTAACTAGTGCAGAACAATGAAGATGTAGAGAATCAAGGATACACTGAAGATGACCAAATTTTACACTAGAAAGTAAGGCTCCTAACCACCAGACAGATGGTATTTTGGAACAGTGCTAGGAGGAAGTCCAAAGCCCTCCCCTGAATTCGAGATGAGAGTATGGGATTCATGTGATAGTGCTGCCAATGCCACAAATGTAGGCCTATGTTGCTAACTCAGGGAATCTCTCTTTAAGCATCAGTCTGGCTCTAAGGCTCCTCGGTGACCCCTTAAGCTAGGAGACCCCTCGCAATCCTGGAATCTCCTCTGTCTGACCCCATTGGCTCAAAAGATTCACCAATAGTGCCCTGCAACCTCAAAAACTACCCGGCAACCTCAAAAAAATTACTCCATGGTGATTTTTCTTCTCTTTCCACCCTTGACAGTCCCAGAGATCCTTATCTTTATTAGAGAGCAAAAGCAGCTGCAAAGAACCTCCTGCAGTACCTTCCCAAAAAGACAAAGATAGGAAAAAAAAATCAGAGGAAAAGGTTAAATGATTCCCTTAGTCCATTTCATGGCATTAGTGCTGTAAACACTGACTATTCAGGGTGCAGTGGGTCAGGTGAACCTGCTTCACTTGGGCTTTCTGGCTCTACACAAACCCAGCTCAGATCCCTTGACAAAAACTCCTTTATGAGAACCTCAAAGATTTACCTAACACTGCATTTCAAGGAAGAGTAACTGCTCTTTGAATACTATCTGTTGAAACACTGGCAGTGCAGCTGGAATGTGAGAAACAAAGGACATGTGGCTCCTTTTCCCATTGGTTTCACATTTTGAAATAAAACGGTTATCACTAAATAATAAATTTATTTAATCCTAAATAAGAAAATAATAAAAAATCATCACCATGGAAGATTAACACTTCATTCTACCGTATTTCTTACTTCATCAAATATTATTTCATATAGGAGAACAGTGTTGCAAGGAGTAAAATATGAGACACGACAGTTCAAAAGATGAAATCTTAGCCCTTACCATCCATGCCAGGAAATTCAGCCACTCTCCACATTAAGACACCTGACACAAATGGAATTGTATCCTATACAGAGAGCTCACAACTGAGCAAAGCCAGGCCTGGACCAGTGCTGCCTATTTGGGGAACCACAAGTCGCTGATGTTTGGGCTCATTCGCAGAGGCTGATGAAGAAGAAGAGAAGCCAATGGCCTGAGCAGAACCTCCTGAGCAAGCAGTGACATTTTATTTTGTTACTGCAATCCTGAGTGTGCTGTCATTAACCCTGGTGACAATGTGGCTCAAGCAACGCAGTCACTGCCTGACTCTGAGGGCGTGGCAGGGCCTGGATGAACAGCAGAGAAAAATGCTGATGGGAGAGATGCGAGGCTGTTCCATGGGGATGCTGGAACTGCCCAACAAGGAATACTCAGCAGTTATGCACAGAGAGTGTGGGGAAGGAGATAAGAACATGAGATGGACTGGGATGGCTCCATTTACAAGGTAAATGTGTAAACTGGCTCAAAGCCAACTTGCAGTGAACATACCTAGGCCTGGGAAAGTAGAGGTGGCTGGAAATCACACTAAGTATTTGTCAAACGTCAGTTTTTCCAAATAGTGACACATTTTACTTGAAACTTTCTGGTTAGCTGTCACAGCTCCATGTATCCTACTGCTTTTTATTTTCCCAGGTTTTCCAGCAACTGTAGTCCAGGTTTTCTAATCCTGTTTTGTGTGACTTTTAGCAAGCTTTCTCTACATTAAAATACTTTCCTGTTCTTCAAGCTGTCAGTTCAGGGACCAAGTTGGACCGGTGGGCATCACAGTAGAAAACAGCAACCAAAAAAGCTCATTATTTTAGAAATCTTCGCACCGACACTACGCGCAGCAGTGGGTATAACACATAGTGAACAACCACAAAAAATGACACTACCAGAGGACGGCTCGCAGTTTTTAAGGCCCAAAGCAGCTATTGGACTATGTGGTGTGCCTAGGAGGTGTGAGCTGGTGGAGGGGCTGCTCCTTACTTGATGGGTACGGTGGGCGAGCCCGAGCGGTGGAAGTGCACGTTCTGCCACTTGCCGTCGCGCCGGTGCCACACGCGCGTCTCCTCGGACTGCATAGTCTTTGGCATGCCGCTGCCGTCCATGTACTGCGTCAGGCGGATGTACGCGATGCATGCCGCGTCCTCGCCCACCAGGTGCACGTGCGGGTTCAGGATGATCGTGTGGATCGGCTTGTTGCTTTTGGACAGAGCTACGAGACACACACACACAGGGGTACACACAGGAGAAATCACATTTGCTCTGGATAAACCAAAAGAACTCATGCCAACTGGTTTTACACATAAAAATCTCAGGCTTAGCAGATACAAATTCATAAGCAGAGTTTTATGATAATCACACCTACAACTAAAATACTTTGTAGAATGAGCACAGTCACTTATTACAGACTACTTAATAAGTAAATATGTTTAATCCATGTGCATGTATGGATTAAATAAAGTGGATGGCACCACCTTGAGTTTCCCAACATTTCAGTTTCGCTGTTATATCTAATGACATTTGTACCCAGTATTTTCAGTTAAAATAATTCAGCTCTGAACTCATTCTTTATTTGATGTTTTAGTTCCAAATACCTGAAACTCTCCTCTGCCCTCTGAGGTGCTCTGTGATGTGTGAATGAGCAGAGCAGAAGCAGATGGAAACACACCTATAGCAGAACTCTGAAAAAAAATAATACTCCCTTCCCCTGCACAAGTAATTAACTAATTCCTAAACCAAAAAGCTCATTAGATCAGAGACACACAGTCACAAGGAACAGATGAAGGCCTGGAGATGAAAATGGAATATTTACCATTTTCGAAGTAAAACCGGTGGAAGTCCATCCCTTCTACCAGATTACCCAAAGCTTCAGGTTCAAAAGACGTAAGGCCTGGATCACAGATTTTTCTATGGAATAGAGGAAATGCTGCAATGAGCACATGTGATTAGGGATGACCGCTTTGGAGAGATTAGTTTTAATTGTTTCTTTTATTCTTACTAAACATTTCACCTACTCATGCCATCACACTGGAAAAGAACAGAACTTAACATGAGGAGCAGGCACGGAGTTCTGGTTTCAGCTGAATTAGTAAATTTGGCAGCTTACTTTAGGCAGACCACATAATTTCATATAAATAGTGTTTTGACCAAAAAAAGACCCACAAGTCAGTGTTATTACAAGTAGGAATTTTTACTTGTGACAATGAAAACCGTGACTGTGCAATGCAAGGGATATTTTTTAGGCCTCACATCATTATATAAGGCAAGATTTAATTATTTTCTTCTAGCTACACTGGAGTTATACTAGCAGCTCTTCTGAAACTGGTGATGTGTGAAGCCAGGGCAAAGCAGCCATGCACATATCTTGTGTTTTCTGGGGGCATCTGGGAAGGCATTTCAACCGTATGTAGCTCCAAGCACAGGCACTCACATATAAACATGCATATTTACACAGACAGTGTCAAACACCCCAGCTGTCCTCACTCCCTCCAAAGGAGGAGCTTACGTGTAAGCTTCGAAGTCCCCGTTGTTGATGGCTTCAATCAACTGCTCGGTCACCTTGATAATCTCCTGCTTACGAGCTGGGGAGAGACACAAACCCAATCTTATAGAGGAAGGCGAAGTGGAATGTGACAGCTGACAGGTATTCTGTCACTCCCCAGCTGGCACAACAGCCATCTATCTTCCTTTCTACGACCAAAGGAAATGATGTTACATTGCAGCTTTACACTGATTTGCCTTCAGTGCACTCCTGTATCCACACGGAAATTAAATGCACGTCAAGATCAATCCACTTCCCTATCAGACTTCTAATTATCTTTCCTTCACTGGAGGATCTGCTGTTTAAAAAGCAAAACAAACCAAGCCCCAACTCTAGACTTTAAACTCAAGGAAGCTGATTACTGTTTTACAGCCAGTCTGGCTGTATTAGCTCTGTTGTGCAAGCAACAGTTGTATAGCACACTCCCACACATGGATTTGACCATTAACAAAAACATGCCTGGAATGTTAAAACAAAGTGCAGAGAGAGATCACATTCTTCTTTAAAAGAAAATGCTGGGGGAGCACACAGACAAACTAACTTTCCAATGCTGTGCTCAAAACTGACACTGTGGTAGCCTTCTCCTTAGTAGCACACCTAAGCATTCAGATGAAAAGGACCAAAAATAAATGAGCAAGAAAAAATGTGATGGTGAAAAAAAAGGATATAAAAGTCTACCAAGGCTTTTTATGAGCAGCTCTTGATTGTTAGCACTGTGGCTAAGAGCATTTCGAGTATGAATTGCCTTATTTTTCACAAGGATTGTAGAAATAAAAAAGACTCTTAAATGAAGCAATGCCTCCATTATCATCGGTTTAAATAACATGGGCCAGACTGTGTGGACACTGTGTGGCATTGCCAGCACCAGCCAAGTGGTGGGATGCCTGAGTCAGAAATGGTGCAAGTCTTACAGAAGGCTGGCAAAAAGAGATCCAGAACAAGCAGACCTCATGCAGTGAGGAAATCACCAGTTCTGCACGCAACATCTCATATACATATAGCTGAGCTAAAGGATTGGATTAAATAACACAGTAACACATCTCAATCAGAGATGAGGAAATTACAGACCATTAAATCAGACAGTGGGAAATGAGGTAAAAATCTCTGATCAGTTGCTACATAATCATGAGCTCATGTTAGTGGATAATGATATAAGCAATTAATATATCTACAATGGTACTGTAGTTTCCACACATGAGAGGCACAAAACCACATGCACACATAATTTATCATCACTTGGCTCAAGACAACTGGGGATATTCCCTTTCTCACTAACATCAGTTACGCCTTTGTCGAGTTTTACCACAGTACCTTTGATGTTGAGATACACAAGATATAATTCCACATCAACCCCAGAAGGAAGAAATTGAACTGTGTTGCCAAATTGCTGGGTTTCCTGGTTTAGCTCCAAAATGAAATTGCAGTGAAATGTATGTTTTCATGAAGCTTTCTGAGAGAAGCCACCTTAAATTACATAATGGGGTTCCAGCAAAGTTTGTCTGGGCTGTACTAACATTCAGGAGAGCTGTGTCTGCAGATGCATCCATCAGGAAGCTCCAGAAGCCAGCAGAGCCAGCCAGCAAAGGAGATTACAGCATCTATCACTGGCTCCAAACAATCACCATCCAACTCCAGCACTGGTGTCAGCACTTGTGCAAAGACTTCACAGTTCCCAATGCAGACTGTCAGGAACAGGAAGATGTTGCCAATTCATCTGCCTTTCAACTCAGTAGTGTAAATGTAGTGCTTGAGATTTGAGAAAAATTTTGAAAAATTGAGATTTTTCTACAAAATTACAAGCACTACATGAAACTGTGAAAGCCACTGTGGCTATTCTTACCTTTCAACAACACAATTAGACACATATTAGAAAATGACACTTTTTCCTATTTAGTGATCTGACATGCAGTTTCTCTGGCCATGAGCCAAAGGGAGAGGTGGAATGCAATTCAGAGAGTGGAGCTCCAGAACTGACTTATCCTATCATGTAAAATCCTCTGCCTTGTTCCAAGCCCTTCCTCAAAACAAGAACAAGGCAGTGTGAAGTAACAGCAGACATCAAAGACTAATTCAAGTACTCAGGAGCCACTGTGATTTTACACAAACCTCCTCCTCATTGTTTTTAGCTTTTACACCTTGTTGTGTGGGTATTTGTGGGGGTGCAGGAAGCCAGACTACAAACAGAGACCAAAAGTGTTACTGTTTCATTGTCATTGAAGCAGAGGTTTAACCTGAAAGGAAGTAAGTAAGGAAGAGAAAAATGATGGGAAAATTGAAATAAAAGAAGTAGAGACTTGGAAGGAGACTGGAAAGCAGCAGAAGGAAAATGCAGCTGTGCCTTGGTGGCCCATGTGCATCCAGTCAAATCCTTGCACTTACCCTTAGGACAAAGGATGAAATATGGAGGGCACTGGACATAAACTAAGGTGAAATGGTATTGGTAGGAACAGTGTCCTGCTACTGTAGACAGCATCTCACACAAATAATTGGCAGTTCTTAGAGTGGTAAGAAAATGATCAAATTTTCATTCTGAGTTTGATCGACTCCACATAACGTGCTCTTCGATCACTCCAATTTTTTTCCATCTAAATACACACTCCAAACTATACAAGGACAACACAAGGCATTAGGGAAGAGGCATCTGCCCAGTTCCCATCTGCCAGACAACTGTCACTTACAATCACCATTTGCATTTGACTTTTTTATTATTTATTTTTTTATCTAATAGTAGACTTGGCTTGTATTGAATTCTAGGACAATTATGCTGTTTGATGTACAGTGGCAATTTCATGCTATTATACTTTTCATTTGATGTGCAGTCAGGACTCCCTAAATAAAACTACAGAAACTAAACTTCCTTAACAAAACTGACAACTGTAATAAGATTCTGGTAAAACTGGTTCAGCTACTTTTTCCACAGAGTGTGGTAAAAGTCAGTTCAAAAAGTAAAGCCTGACCCATCTAGTTTTTTGGAAATTACAATGGCTTTCCAGAGCATAACATACATACTTTGTACACAAAGGATAACTGAACAAAAATACACCTGGTGTCTTTGAAACAACTGAGGTGTGAGGGAAGAACACTGTTGACAAATCAAAGGTGCTGAGCCGTTTTCCTGAAAACCAAGAAGGAAACAGACTGCAGACATAGCAAGTTTGTGTGGAGAAGATGGTGGCTTGGACACATTTTGCTCAGAGTATGGGTGAAGTAAATATATATAAATATATCCTTAAACAACACCTTTTCCCCTGTAGGGTGAAGGAGTTAAGGTAATTAATAGGGGTGCAGCAGTTAGAAATATATAACCCCCCTGCTTTGGCAAGTGAGTAGGTATATGACTAAGACAAAGGCAGTTGAAACAAAAATATTATGAAGAAGAGCTATAAAAAGACCAAATAATAAGAAAAAAACAAACAAGAAGAACATTTCCAATCACAGGCTAAAATGTTTTCTTCAGCACTTCTGCAGTACATATGTTAACTTTAAATGAGTCATTAATCTCTAGCTATATTGCACTACCTCTTTTCCTTGCTCAGCTACAAGTTGAGGGATAATCTTTCTAAATTAAAGACCACCATTAACACTAAGATTTAAACAACATAAAATTAGGAGAAACACCATTTAAGCAAAAAGCATCTAACACTATCAATACTTTCAACCTACAAGGAGCAGTTCCCCAGGTAGTGAAATCAAATATCACAGGAAAACAAAAGTACAAAATAGCAGCAAAAACTGTTTTTCCTGCAGGGAGCTCTGTGGCTTTTCTTCCCCTCCTGAAGCCCCAAGAAATGTTTATAAACTCAATCTACAAGAATCAGACAGAAACAACAGATATTTTAGTATTTTGATTGCATAGGGAATGTGTAGTATAAAAATGTGCTGCAGATATGTGAAAGTGAAGCCTTTAGAAATACCTGTACCTGAAACTTCATGTTTTTTGACACACAAAAAAAGAGCCCTTGTAACTCACTGACCACTATATTACCCATCTTTTTTTCAAAACTGACACCAGGGAAAACAGTAGTTTAAACAACTTTATGCTTGACGCAGATATTGGAACATCCTTCTCCTGCCATCAACCCTTCAGATGCCTATGTCACCACTTTACAGCAATGCCTAAGCAGAGAAGCACCTGTCCAGAAGAACAAGGTAACCTTGTTCCAGATTTGCACATGCACTTTGAGATTATTAAAATGATTTTGCATCTGACTTGCTCCCATGTTGTTTCTCAAGGCAAAAACCCTTAAAAAACTTTTCAACTGGGTACTCTTAACTACATATCTCTGTGCACCTCAGATTGGATTAATCTCACAACATTTTGGGCATATATAAGTACAGACAAGTGAGTTTGTTCTCTCAACTCCCCTCCCTTACAGTCAAGGGAGAGAAATCAGCACTTTCAGGGCACAATTCATCATATCCTAAAATAGATTTTTAAGACAAGTGTGACTCATCTGACCTATTTGCATTGGCTAAAGGGAGTCTAGACAACCAGCTCAAACACAGCTCTACACTGTAGAGGAGGGTTAAATCCAGGGGGACAAATCCTCCCCGTTGTGCTGTTGTTTTGAAACTGGACAGTTGGTATTGAGGTGACAATGGTCTGCTAAAATGGAATGGCACAGCAGGGGGAACCTGGCTTCACTTCCCATATGAACACTGTCCCAACAAACACCAGTTTGATGCACAGCACACAGCCAGTCATTATTTTTATGCTCTGGAAATAACCAGTCTGAAAAGAAAGAGAAAGATATTAGAAATTTTAGCCTGTGTTGTATAACAAGTTCTGGCTGTGTGGATGTACCAGATTTCATTCAGCTTTACATCATGGACTGCTGAACATTACACAATGTTCTTACAAATTATTCTCATGACACCAATATTCGAAAATTCTATGCTAATAATTTTTCTTACAATTTCTGCCACAGATATTCCAACTAAATAATTTCTGAAAACAAAATAAAAGAAAAGGCTGCATGAATAAATGACTGACTGGGTCTCAGATCTTTATAAAACCCACCTAGACCATCAGATGACAAG